CTTGTACAATGTAATGGGTTTCAAGGCTATACTATTGTGCACTGCACCAGAGCAAAAAGGTCTAATGCACTTCATGAATACTTCATGCTCAACGATGTGCCAAGTAATATTTGAATATATGCATAGAAATGAAAGTTGTTGTATTGAGTTAGACTGTTTTCAGTCAATCAGCTGAATCTGAAAGCATGTGAACGCCTTTGTTTTGCTTTGTTCGTCAGCGTGTTCTGCAGTGCCGTGTGAATGGCACAGGAGTCGTGCAAGTGGAGTGAATGACTGCGGCTCAGTGCAGGGTCTGATTCCTATTGCGTGGTTGCTTGGACACTGTCGCCATGGCAACATGCTCCAGCACAGCATTAAAGGAAACACAGACGCAGTAGAGTGAAATAAACAAGAGATCAAATGGAAGCGGGAGACGGTGGGGAAAAAGTTGAAAACTTCCATTCCTTTTCTATCTCATGCCACATCCCTGATTAAGGAATATATACTACGACTCAAAGCCGTCAAACTGACTGAACTAGAATGAAATGTCATAACGTACAGCCCATGCTGCTCAAGAGGCTTTCTTATGTTGTCCTAATATGACATGACCTCTCTTTCTCAGTCCATATGTCCCCCTTACAGACATACTCTTGCTCCTTTATGACTCATTGCTATCTCCTTTCCTTGCCAATAGCAACATCCTTATTCATTGAATGGTGAGTTCACTCAGTTCAGGACCTACAACACAGTCCTTTCATTATAATACAATTTACACCTCATATAATACCATCTACACCTCATTCTGTCAGGATCCCTCCTTTTCTGATTACCTAAACCAAATTATTTCAACAAATGAGAAGTAAATACTGAAAACACACACCAAGTTAATGCACTGAAAGGACTACCACATGAATACAATATATTACATCAACTGAAAGATGAAACTGTATAACTGTGTTTTTGATTGTGTGGAAGTAATGTACACACTTGAATAAAGTAAATTCAGTCTATTACTTTTTTTCTGTGCTATAATATGCATTATGTATTAATGTATAGATAGGCATATCCAGCAGTAAAATTCAGAGACTGGCACATGTACATGTATTTCACTGGCTAACAGGCACAATCTGCCCCTGACAGGCACAGTTTGGATCCAATCACTTTTTTGGTGCAGTTACAGGTTGATAAATGAGACCACACATGTTAAAATGTGCCATTTATAGGTATAATGCCAATACATAATTAGGGGCAGGGTTGCAGTCTCACTTCCTGCTCCAAAATGCAGGGGTGTGGCTAAAACAAGGCTCCGCCTATGGACTGAAACTCTTTGTTTTTCGGGAGTGACGTGAAGCATTTTTTGATCATTTAAAAATCTTTTTTTTTATTTAAAAATTGAACTTTAAGATCTTTAAAACAATCAAAAATATTAGTTAATAAAATTAGTATTATTTTCACAAGTTGATATTTAGAGGTTAAGGTTTGATACTCTGATAAGTTACATGGGAAATATTTTATTTGATTAAATTAATCTAAAATACAGGGTCAAAATGACTGTACAGTGAGTCGTCTAGTTGCTCATGTAGCAAATGTACAAGGCAGCTTCAAGTTTATATGTATAAAAATAGAGTTTGATATGATAGCAACAAAATGTAAATCCAGTCGTTAATGTGTGTAGGTTTGTGTGTATGTGTGTACCCAGGTGCATGTGAATTGGAGGGAGTTGGCGTTTGTGAGCACAGGTGTACCATTGTGCATGTGTGTGTGTACAGTAGGGCTGTTTTTACGCATATATGCGCAGCATAATGAGCTCTCCAGCCCAGGCGTGGGGAAATCCCCTCTAGACAGAAGAAATGGCAGCGAAAGAGCCACTCTCAATTACACACTAATGAAACAATTCTCACTCTGAGTATGATCAGGATCACGCAATGCCAAGTCTATCTCTCTCTCTCTCTCTCTCTCTCTCTCTCTCTCTAGACAATCTCTGAGTACTGGCAATGAAGGCACTTATCTGCACTTACTTTAACTGTAAGCCACTCATGTTATTCATGTAAGAACGCAACACAGCGGTAATGTCCCTCCTGCTGGTCAGTCACCTTTTCACAAAGATGCTACTAAAACAAATGTGTAAGGTTCTAAACAAAAAAATCATCTCCAAATAAGACAGTGAAAAGCGATGTTTGCGTGACGACTACTCACTCACTCACTCACTCACTCACTCACTCACTCATCATCTAAGCCACTTATGCTCCTGGTCGCAGGGGGTGCTGGAGCCTATCCCAACACCCAATGAGTGGAAGGCAGGAAGCACCCTGGACAGGTCGCCAGTTCATCACAAGGCGGACACGCAGACCTACACACTCACACACACACTCACACCTATGGTCAATTTAGTATCTCCAACTGGCCTGAATGCTTGTCTTTGGACTGTGGGAGGAAACTGGAACACCCGGAGGAAAGCAACACAGACAAAAGGAGATCATGTAAGCTCCTGACTGAAAGGACCCTGGTCACCTGGTCTGGTCACCCAGCCATGTGCATAAGATTAGTAAGTACAGACAGGGGTGGAAAATATTTAGGCAATTGTACTTTTGGTGTTTCTGTGCGTGTGTGTTCTGGTGTAAGTATACTGGTGCAAAATGGCTTTATATCCATGTCATTTGTTTTGTTTTTACACTGCTTTGTATTGTTTGTCTGTATGTTTAGAAGGTTGCCACCATATTGACTGAGATGGCTTAGAGGCCACCAGCCACCAAAGCAACTCTACATCACAGCTACAAGGCTTCTAGGGCTGGTTGCCCAAATGGTACTACATCACGGCTAAAGGCATCCTGGGCCAGCTACCTGAGCTACTCTATCCCACAGTTATGAGGCTTTCTGGGCTGACCGCTTGAAAGACCCAACACCACTGCTATGAGGCTTCCCAGGCCAGTTGCCAGAGCGACACTACATTGTGGCTACATGGTTCCTGAACTAGCTTCCTGAGCTACTCTACACCACAGCCGGCTTTTTTTCTTTAAATTTTATGCTGTTTTTATTCGCTTTTTATGTAAAGTGGGAGTGGGAGATACCAGTATGACATTGTCTCATAATATGTTTTTGCCATATTGAGGATATCATGATAAGGCCAAAAATGTCAAAACAGAAACAGTCCCGCCACTGAGACAAACTAAACACAAATTTGAACAGCTGTAATTTTCTGTAAAGCTGCTTTGTGACAACACCTGTTGTAAAAAAGCACTATATAAATGAACTTTGACTTGACTTTGACTTAAATAGCTCTTAAAAACGCAACAAAGGCTCATTTCAGACCAAAAGCAGTAACAGCACTTTTGGGAACCACTTGCAGACGCTCCTACATTAATCACTGCAGCTTTTACGCATACTGCAGCATGGCAGCATGGGCATGGACAAAGTGAGTCATTCATCACATGCCACTTGCAGCCAGCCACTTGAATGGACTGGCAACATGTTCTACTTTGCTGACCGCACTGCATTGGTCAGAACAGTAGAAAACACTGTCATATAAATTTGAGCTCATATCATCCAGTCCTGAGTAAAACACTTTGAATTGCCTTTGAATATGTGCTTAAATAAACTTGTCTTGTCTTACTTAAGTATTATTTTGGTAGATTTGTACTGGACTTCAGTCTTACTGAAGTGAAATACTTGTACTTTTACTCAATTACAATTACAAAAAATATACTCCTTACTGCTCACATTTTCATTCAGACCTTCAAAGTACAATGAGTTTCTAAAATATGCTCTTGCCAGTCAAGTTCGTCTTATTTTTTATTTTTTAACGAAAATTTAAAACTATCCATAACTATGGTAATTCATATTAGTTCAAGAGCCAGTATTGCACATTCATTGCTCCATTGCAGATACACTAATCAGGGTTACACAGCTTGTGCCTAGCATGAAAGTCGCGTTAATATAAAAGAACATAAAAACAAACAAATCCACATATTCTTACTCTTTTTGTATGTACTTAGTTTTGTTGAAATGTTGATACTTTTCAACTGTCACTAAAATATATTTTTTGCTCCGTACTTCCACTTTTAAGTGAGTAAGTCTTTGAGCCAATACCCATACTTTTACTTAAGTATAGTCTCTCTGTACTTTTTTCTATCCCTATGAACAGATAACACAGTCTAAACACTAATTAAAAACACAATACTGCATGTATTCAATAAGAACACATAGTTTTGACAACTTTGCTTACCAAAGATTCTATGATAGTTTTACTTCCCTCATTGCTACAAACTCCAAACATGAATCTACATAGGTATCGTCTCCAGCATAAAGTATCCAACGCACAGCTGGATAGTTATCTCTCTTTGAAGTCAATGACCTTTGATTACCCTAGTAAGAAAGACAGCAGAGAAAAGAAAAGGCCAGTATGTGTGACAAAGAGATATACATTAATTTTCAATACTATTATGGATGATGGAGAGACATTAATGACACTGTATTGACAAAATGGACCATATATATATATATATATATATATTATATATATATAATATATATATATATATATCCATATCTCACACCATACCATACCGAAAAAAAACAAAGAAGCCATGCTAAGTATGACACAAACCCAATTAGACCACCTTAGCATGGGTCCATGCTTGAGTCAAATGAGTGTGCTATGCTTTCTCTTTAGGAACACAGTTCACCTTCAAATGTGCCAGTGGAAAAATATCCACCTTTAGCTTGCAGTGACACCCAGTATGTGTGTTTGTGTATGTGCACGGAAAGAATGGAAGAATGCTGAATGGCTGTTTTGTTGTAATGCTTCTGGGGGTTGGTGTTGCTTAGTTGATTGAGCAAGTGAGAAATGTTGCATTCAGGCCACAAGTGTGACAGCAGGCGTCAAAGCTGAGAGGACAGTGAAGACACTCGGTGAGGCGGAAGGGAAGGAACAAGAGGGTTCAGTCTCATTTTCAGGCTATTGTTTAGCTTAGTCTCGTTTTTTTCATTCATTCAGATGGACATGCCTCTGAAGGGTTTCCTACCTGCTCGGTTCATTTCTAAAACCTCATCCTGGGCGGCCAGCGGGCATGTGTCGCTCTGCGTACTGTGGTGGGGCGAGTTCATGCCCGACTTACAGAAATTGGGGGAGCCCAACTGTGGGGCACGCGGGATATGCTTGTTCTTTTTCTTTGGTAGCTTCTGCTTCGCCATGGCCAGTGAGTAGTACATTCCAAAGTTATTGACGATGACTGGCACGGGCATGGCGATGGTCAACACACCAGCCAGAGCACACAGCGCGCCCACCAGCATGCCCGACCATGTCTGCGGGTACATGTCTCCGTAGCCAAGTGTAGTCATGGTGACCACAGCCCACCAGAAGCCGATGGGGATGTTCTTGAAGTGCGTGTGCTCGCTGGCCCGTGGGTCGTTCGGTTTGGCGCCGATTCGTTCGGCATAGTAGATCATGGTGGCGAAGATGAGCACGCCCAGGGCCAGGAAGATGATGAGGAGGAGGAACTCATTGGTGCTGGCCCGCAGGGTGTGGCCCAGGACCCGCAAGCCTACGAAATGGCGCGTCAACTTGAAAATCCGGAGGATCCGCACGAATCGGACCACCCGCAGGAACCCTAGCACATCCTTAGCCTCTTTGGAGGACAGACCGCTCAGGCCTACCTCCAGGTAGAAAGGCAGGATGGCCACAAAGTCGATGATGTTGAGCGCATTCTTGATAAACTTTTTTTTGTCGGGACAGAAGGTGATGCGCATGAGAAACTCAAAGGTGAACCACACCACGCACACACCCTCGATGTAGGTCAGATACACCTCAGTCTCCGTCTCCTGGTAGATCCGCGTGCTGTTGTCCAGGGGGTCAATGTCCGTGCGGTTGATGATGGGGTTGAAGGCCTCGTGTGTCTCCAGGCAGAATGTGGTTATAGACACCAGGATGAAGAACAGAGAGGCAAATGCCACCCACTGGAGGACAGAGAGACAGAGAGAAAGAGAAAAAGAGAGATTTTATTAATTTTGACAAGACACTGCAACAAGTATTCATTAATATTTGATACATTTTACAATTAAAGTGTTCAAAACCAGGAAATTCATTTAAATAACTGACAACATTTACCACTTTTATAAACTCTCCCACTCTTTCAGGTGGAATTCTAGCTTGTCACTAGTAGCACACAATTGCCAGCTCTGCACACCAGAATAATTGTGATTGTAATTTGGCACAGCTTGGAAAACTCTCTCAATTTGAGACAGTACTGGTCTTTGTTGCAGTCCAAAAACATTTCCTACTTCTCTGTATTTCTAGCTAGCATATTCTCAGTTATGTTTATACTGAGAATAAATGCTAGCTGTCCAGAGATACTGCACTGGTGGTAAAGCAGGCATGGCTGAGGCATGGTGTGTGCTATATAAAGTGATTTTGAACAGCTTAAAAATCATGGTGTGACTCCCCTGCTGACTAAAAAGAGTTGACCAAAAAGTTATTTTGATTTTGAAGATGGTTAAAAAAAGACGCTGCACCACTCACTGCTATTTAAACAAAGCCAGCAACCGAGGTAGCCAGATAGAGCCTTGCTCAATTAACCAGTAATATCATGTTTCACCTCCCCCTTCCACCACCCCAAACCCTCACCCTATCACCGTGAGAAAATACTCAGCTAGCTCAGAGGTCCTCTCTGATTTTATGCTTCACTTTAAAAAAGTCTTGTTACACAATGAAAACAAATTATGAGTTCGGATTCACATGGGCTTTTTTTTGCTAAGCATATAGTTAGAAGCAAATTGAAATCTACAGTAAAGTTGGTTCATGACACTGGAGGTGGGCTAGATCGGGCCTTGACCAAAAGACCAAAACACATAAACATAACCCAAGAATTAGCAATCATTTTGCAAGGTCTGGTGCACTAATCTTTGATCATCTTTCCCTTTGATACTGCATTTTGCAAGTCTAGCTGTCTGTACTTTCAACTCTCTCCAATAACTCACAGCATCAAAAAGTGAAATGCACATATAACTAGTCCAGCTGAGCTTCCAGGGTGCCAGATGCAGCTCTAATGGAGCACATTTGAGAGTACTACACTGCCCCTACATACCCTGAGGTCAGATTTCCGCAAGAGATGAAAAAGCTACATTTCTTCTAGTCTTGTAGTCTGTAGTGCAGATCTTTTAACTACAGTGCTCTCCAGAATTAGTACCAACCCCCAGAAAGTGAAAAAGGTCATAAAAATGTATTAGCTTTATCTTATTATTCATTGAGGCAAATTTGTAAAACTCTAGTCCTAACTTGTGAAGTATCTTGAATAGAAGAGCCCACAAGCAAGGACCAAATATTTTGCATGGAGGAATGTCCTCAAATCCATTATATGTGTTTTTTCACCTCATGTAAAATTATAAGAGAAGACTCCTGGGAAAGAACACTGCACAAAGCATTAAATGTAGCAGTGCCAATGGCCATGGAATATTTTTGGACAAAAAGATTCACTACATTTTGTCTCACTAAAAGTTTCTCCCCTATTTTCAGTGCAAGATCATCTTCGTCGGAATGGTTATGAGAAAAAATCAATTTTTTACAAAACTTTTGGCTTACCCCAGATGTAGTCGATCAGCCAAGACATGTTTGGTGTCCAAGTTTTGCTTCTTTAGTTTAGTGCTTGAGCTACGATGCTAACATTGTTTACACATGCAAAAAATAAAGTTATCCAAATCTTTTCTGTAAAGACATCCCCAGAACTTCTCTCAACCTGCTCAAACCACATCCAGGCCTACATGAATGCTGTGCAGTGTTCTGATTTCCCATTACGTGCACCCATGCCACATGGCACATATGGATAGATTATGTTTGCAATTTCTGTTATTTCTATTTAAAAACAGATCTTCAGTATGAGGTTTTGCATTTTCATAATTCATAGTTCACAGTAAGTGACTTTAATGAAAACCTGGATGCAGTTTGAGTGGGTTAAGAGTATAGATAGTATTGAGTATTGATAGAGACTGATATATTTGCAGAAAAGATTTGGGTGATTACTGACTTCTAGTGTTTGTTAGCAACATTAGCCTTATAACTCTGCCTTATAATCTAGGCTGATCGATCTCATCTGGGATAAGTGGAAAATAGTGTAAACATTTTGCTGACAATGGAAGGTCCAAGCCTCCAATCCTTATTCCTACAACTTATAACTTATGAACAAGTTAACTTAAATTTAAGCTCAATCATTATGTATTATGTTTCAATAAATTACTGAATAGTCAGCCGTAGGATGTCATAAGTCTGGAAATTTAATGAGTTAAAGACAAGTTTCCATTGTCTTTTTGTTCATTTTTATTAAGGCAGGCTATGATTCGGGAGAACAGACCATCTTTCCTCTAGTGGTTATAATCCTTTAGCTTCAGACTGTAAATAAAGGCAGCATGTTTTCTCTGGTGACTATGCACTCCACTCTTGCGCTCAGAGGATTTTGAATGGGGCTATAAAGATTAGTCTGGCAGCCAGAGGTGGGTAATGGATGTTGTGTAACTCCACTTAACACCACTACAATACTAAAGATCCCTATCCTGAGTCACAGTGCACACGTGAGGAGGAAGAGTGGTGTGATGTTGGTGTAGACCTGAGGTGTGGTCAAGTACTGCTTAAGGTAGAGTAGATGTCAGTGTGAAAAGTTTAGTTGAGCAAGTTAAAAGTACAAGAAGTTCAGCACAAACATTACCTCATCGCTGCATACCCATGGTGTGCACACAGTCTAGCAGTGTAGGACGCACTGATTTACTACTTATTCCCTGAGCTCCTGAACTTGTCAAGGAAGGACACAGCACACTGGTGATGTATTAATGCTTATGCTGTTGCAGGCATTTATGCTTGCACTATTGTATACTGGACATCAGAACGAACCTTAAGAAACTCACGAAATAAACAATATAAAATGGATAGGTCAAGTAAAATGATGTGTCCCCTATGTTAAAGGGAAATTCCAACAATTATCACAATTTCTGCAAAATTCAATCACTGAGACGTAAACAAAGTAATTGAGAACGGTTTGATGTGAAATCAAAGTGCACTGTAGAGAAGCTTACTGCCGGTTTTCCTTTACAGTGGTGGTGATAGGAACCAGGAGTCAATATCTATAATGCAAATAGCCATTTTATTTGCTATCCATTTGACCAGTGAACCTACATGTGTCCTCTGAGATTTATATGTAATGTTGATAATGGTAAAATAGCAGTAAACTTGAAAAAGTAAGTTTTCTTTATGTACTATTTTGTCTTACAATGGCCTGAATGTACCTCTTCTCCATGAATGGCTTTTTAAAATACAGGGTTTTTAAAATGAAGTAAATAAGGGTATTTGTTTCTCTATTTAGTATCTAGAAACTTTGTCACAGAAATTTTAGCAGCAAAGGCCTCAAATAGAACAGTTATCAGTACTATACTGAGATTGTAAATTTATAAATAAATAAATTACAGCTGGTCGAAAGACCTTGCACAACAAACTGCACCACTTTCTGCGTAGCTATTAGATCCCAAAGAGCAGAGATGCCTAAAAGTGACATGTGGGAGGGCTATAAATTATTGAACAAGCAGAAAATGCTCAGTGCACAATGAAGCAATAAAGGGTTGGTATACTGTGGGCCTGTATTTCATGTATGTGATACATGCATGTATCTAGTTGACAAACAAACAAGCATCCAAATGCGTAAACATTTAAACACACTATCTGACGACAGGCAGTGGCTATAAATATGGATCCCAAAGCCAGAGATGGCTATTGGCAGGCATAATTGGAGCTGAATGCTTTGCAAGCTGCAGGCCTTTCTACAATGTGCAGTAATGAGTCTGATGAAATTGCAGCACAAATGTACCATCTGTAGCAGCCTTCAGCACCAGAGGACTGGAACTATCTCACAAAACAAGAGGAATGTGCTCTCTCTCTCTCTCTCTCTCCGTTCTGATTGGGTTACATCTTAATATAAATAATTCAGAAAAATCACAGGGATTTGAAGGAAATTGTAAAAAATATTTTTCTTCATATTTTCCCTGTAGAATTCCACCATATGATTGGGAAAGAAATTGTTTTATGTCTTTTCTGCTTCATCATTTAAAGCCTGTAGAGCTGCTGGCTAACATTTGCTGGCTATACTGTATACAACCATTACATACTGACTTACTGTAAAACTTTGGTATTTTACGTACGTCAGTCAGCAGTCATATCTGTTTTAACCTCGTAAGCAAATTGTTTCAGATTTCCACTCTTCACTCTCAAAACTGAACAACTTACATGACAATTTTAAACTTAGTACTGAATAATTCATAGTAGTTTTTAAATAAAAGGGTTTTCTATCAGTCATATTAAACCTAACATGTCATGATACATTCAGAGTCTTTGGTAACACTGCCACCAGAGTAGTTTCAACTTGTGCATGACCATGTTCGACATGGCAAAATAGACCAGCTTGTGGAAGTGTAACATTCTGAATGCTACAGTATATCACTGTCTAAAAGAAGCCCAAAGCAGCCTTTATTTTTGGATCCATTGTTGTTTCCAAGCCAGCAAACAAATACATTCAGAATCAAATTTGCATCGGTTAGCACTTATTATAGACTGGCTTAATCAGAGTAATGACAAAAGGTGTCTGAGCTGTGAGTTATATTCCTGTTATGCATGTATTTGCTTGATCAAGAAGCAAGTTCGTGACACAAATAATAAAAAAAATCCAGTGTTTGCCTGTTAGATGATGTTCTTTGCATATCAAACAGATGCCACAACAGCATTGAGACATCGTGTTATTAACAGAGAAGAGTAGATTAAACAGCGGAAATAGCCACTTTTTTGCTTTGGCCTTAAGAGCTTAATGACTGATTAATAAGGTTGGTCTTAAGGGGTTGATTGCCAACAATGGACAGATAGATTTGGAGAAATTCAGAAACAGATAGATAGGGCTTTGAGTCTCTCTCTCTCTCTCTCTCTCTCTCTC